GTGGAAAAAAATTTGTCTAGAAAACTGCATTTGTGGCCATCAAAGAGCATACACACTCACGTACATACACACATTTACAACTTCCGGCCGCTATTTCACAACTATTTACCAAACCACAAAAACAACTATGCGTTGAGAGCGCAGCGAAGTGTCAACAACAGCTTCATGTCATTATGACAATCATCAGAGAGCATAAGTAGCAGCCGAAGCAACAGGAAAAGCTGAAAAGAATGTGGCAGAGAAAAGAGGGAAAGCAGACAGTTAGCAGCTCATAGTCAGCCGCTAATAGCTTCTGCAACTGCCGGCGGAAGTTATATATTTTTATCATTACTGTGCTTGTCAGCCAAAACGCGTTGTCGTCCATTAACGTCAACATCACAGTAAGCAGCATCATGACATTTGGTCATTGCAACACTGTTGAAGAAAATATGTATTGCGGAGTTTAAGTGAAGTTTGGAAATAAAAGCAGTATATAATGAAATATATATTTGGGTAGTAGGGTTAGTCACCTCACTAGTCATATAAATATGTGGTAACTTCTTTCACAGTTTCATAAACTCATTCGCATTAAGAATACTGAGAGATTTCAAACAGTTTTGTTTTTTTTTCTAGAAAAAGGCGTTGCACTAGATTATTGTTTTTATATTTAAAATGTAATTTAAAATAAAAATTCTTTTTCGTAAAGCAATAAATTTAGTTATCCATCACTATCTCACACACTTGTCTTGCACTAATTTTAGGCTAGGCACACGAAGCTTCAAAACTGCTTTCTACTTGATTTTATTCTAAATAATTTTATTAAATAATAATCACCGGTTTGACTCATAGCAACAATAGCCAAATTTTAAATACAAATTTGCTTAGATTTCCTTTGCAAATTTCTATATCTATACTTTAGTTTGAATCCTTACCAAACACATCGAGCAACGATCAAAAAATGTTGCTGTCAATATGCAAACATTTTACTTTTGGTACTTTGGTACTGTCGGGAACTACCATATATAACAACTATTCTTTCAGAGTGGTGATTATCCACTCCATATCTCTGGAATCGAGTTATTAGACAGGTTTGTTGGTTTATCACAGCGGAATCGCAAGAAACTGCAAACTGCATTTGCCGCTGTTCATGTAGGAGTCCATTGGCTACTGGATGCTTGGCGAGCTCGACAAGCGCTGGTCAGATACCACCAACCACGCAATCGCATAGTCCTTCTAGCCTTGGCTAAATCGTAATAGATTTAATGAGTTGTTCAAGCTCAGCAAAGTTCATCTTTCTACAGTTATATGGGTTCCGTCTGGACACTGCCCGATCGCCAACAGCATAAGCTACTTGGGAGAGGATAAGATAGAATCATCTCAACACTTCTTTTTCAAATTTCCCTCCTTACACAGATCAAGACTAAAATATCTCGGATATCACACTTCTAGACCTCCTTGTGAAATAGAGAAAATAGAAATTAAGTACCTAAGTAGATGTCTGATAAGTTCAAGGCGCATTGTCGAGAGTTAATATCCAACAGGATTTCTTATCTGGTTTTACAAAGAACTATATTTAGCAGTATAGGTGTGATCCCCACCTTTTTGGGGGATTAGCCATCTGACCCAACCAAACTATCACTATACTCTTTTCGAAGTTGGTTCGAGTATCGATAATAGCCAAGTTTCACACCAGCATATATTTTGGCCCTACGCTCCAATTGGAGTTAAAGGAAATGTAAAAATTTAAAGAAGATATTCCATAGAAAGATCAATATACAACCGATTTCAACTGAAATAAGACCGCGCGAGTATGTTCGCGACTTTCTTAATGGTTGCTGTCTCGTCTGGCGGTTTAAAGCTTGTTGATCAGGGAAGCGTAGAGCAGCGAACTTCCGCTCCGAATTTATCATTCAATTTCGCTGAATCTGTTAAGTAGTGACATGGCTGATTGGTTGATTGATTGAAACTGATGGTCGAAAGAATGTCGTATCAATAGCGATCGCTCTTTAGTGAGACCGAACTATGCACCACTCAGCAACCAGATGAATTTGATCGGTTCTTTTGCATCTCAAATGGCTGGAGGCTCCAAAAACTTCATCATTCCACCCAATATTATTAGTGTTCCTGGACCTGGGGTCTTACTGTAATATACAACGTTTCATATAGCCTTCGAAAAGGTTAAGCGGCCCTGGGCAAAAATATTCTTTGCGTAAGCCGTAACCATATACCGTAACCGATCTGGTTACCGTTAAGCAAGGTTACTCTTTGTATATTTGATTCTTAATATAAAAATTATGTAAAGTTAACGAAATTCATAATTGTTATTGTCATTTTCTTAGAGTGCCGAAATTAAGTCGTACTGATGGGTTAATATTTACCAAAAATACAATATTAATATTAAACCACAAATTGAACTCCACCGAAAGTTTGGAAAAGATTTTTTTTTTTTTTTGTTTGTTGCCACTTAAAAAAGTTTCGAATATTTCCCAAGTACTTAAACAACACACAAGCACATGCATATGCGCGCGTGTATGAGTGCAGGTCTCCAAAGTAATATGCATGTGTTGCTATTCCGATGAAAGTCACGGACCTTTGTAGTTGTTTTTGTGCGAAAACTTTGCCTTGTTTGTGTCATTTTGCCAACGAGGCACACACGCTAAGTTGTTTTGTCCACAATTTGCCTCTCACAACTTGCCTCAGACACACAATCCCTCTACAGCACCCTCTCCCTACTTCTCTTTTTATATCCCTCGCTCTCTTCCCCTTTCTCTTTAATACTCGTTGTGACTTTGGATTCATATATGAGTATCGAACTCATACGTTCACATGTTGCCAGTAATGCCGTTTCTGTCTCCGCCTGGCATTTATTTCCCTTTGGAGAAATTACCAAGCGTTTAAATGCAAAACACAAAAGCTTAAATAATTCCCCTTACGATTGCGATTGTTTTGTGACTAACTAACTACTTTCGTTTTGTTCTTGTATATATTTGTGTTGTTGTGGTTTTTTGTTGCTTTTATTCGCATTTGCTCACAAGTGGTGGCACATGCTTTCCAAGTAACTGCCACAACTGTCTCTTTGGCCGGCAATTGCAATCCGACCGGCCACATCCATTGCCGCCGTTACTCATTTTTTGTTTTGACTTTTTATATATATACCGTTATTTTTTTATTATTATTATTAATGTACTTTTTTTTTTTGCAAGTTTGTCGTTTTTATGGTATACTTTTTGCGGTTGCTTGTTTGCAACAATTTTACACAAGCCAGCCATCCGATCTATTCCAAACGCTCCCATTCATGTGTGTGTGTTTTGCATATGTGTGGAATTTTCTTTTCTGCATTTCTTTGTTCTTTTTTTCGGGTTATACTCTTGAGATTGTGTTCCCTACGTTCGTCCAATAACAAACTGGTTTTGGAGAGTTGGTCACACATTTGAAAGAGTCCTGCAGAAAACTTTGAATTCACCCATTCGAAATTGCTTTAAACAATGATTATGGAAATCATATTTTGATGATCATACTTCGCCCATGTCATATATATATATATATATTTATACATATGCAACAAGCATGACATATACTTTCCTGAATTTTCGCAATTTATAGGCAAATCGCTCTTCACGGAAGTTGCCGGCTCTGTAATCATAATTATTATTGATTTTAAAGCTAACCCGCCAGCACCGATACAGCAAATTTGTGGAATTATGTTCTCGGTAATGCCGCACATAACCTCATAAGATTTTCGTATGAAATTTAGAATAGGAAAATATTTTATAGTCAAATTGTATATTATTAAAGGTGTAAAATGAAAAAATTTTATTTAAATTATCAGAAAAATTCATATTTCGGCTTAAAGAGTTTCATCTATCGAAAGCTTTGACGCGAGGGTGTTTGAAGTAACTTAAATGCTTTTAGAGCTTAAAGTGGAATAATATGAAATTATGATGCTCAATTAAGAGCTGAAAAGTAAGCAGTCGGTGGCTGTGTATGTTTGCTTGTAACTGAATTCCAAAAAGAGATAAGTTAATATAGAGGTAAACCTTATTCAAAAGTCCATAAAAATAAGGTTTTTAGTCCGAGCATTAATAGGTTTTCCGCTTAAGCTTGACATATTTTTACTCACTAAAAACTAAGCAACTCCTTTTATGTGTGTGGTTATCCAATTTTTTAAAGCATTACAGATATCATAAAAATATAAGATATTAGAATTGCGAAGTGCTGAAATCTGACGGATCGTCACAGCGGTCCCAATAAGAAATAAGTTTGGGTTAACCAATTTTACTGCAGGTCTAATAAGCAGCACCGTCTTTGTAGAATTAGCACCTATATGATCACTTTCCTTAACAAAGTAGGAAATGTAAGAGGTCTCAAAGATTTATTTTGTCTTATTTATTTCATACTTTTAAGAGCTAAACTTGTAGTTTCTACTTCGCAGTGCTGCTCAGGTTGTAAGGTATGAAACTTGGTTACGAGGAGTAATTACATACGATATGCATTCATATGCAAAATATATTGCCTACATTAAGGCGCGTGATTAAAATCAACAACCGCTACAAACACACAACAGATGCAAGAATCCAAAATTTTGCACGAAACCATTATCCGAATAGACGTGCGCGTCTTCACAGAAAAACAAAAAACAGAAACTAAATGAGAGAAAGAAAAAAACTTGGATTGAAAAATTTTACACCTGCTGAGCATGAATGACTGCACATAAAATGCACATTTTTTGTTTTATGTATTTTACGTGTCAGCGACTGAAAATGTGTAGTCAGCTTTAGTCTGCTATAAAAACAACAAAACCAACTGACCTATTGCACTTTTTAGCGCCTTCGTTGCGAATAAAATCCGAGTTTTATTACAAAAAATATCGCACACACACGGCCAGATCTGTTTTTGTATCCATGTATGTGCAAAAGTTTAACATTTTTTGCAATTTTTTTTTGCTTTTTTTTGGAAATTTGCAACTTCTCGATTTCAACTGATTTGTCACTATTTGCTATTCGCTATTTTCTATTCTGCAGGATCACAAGCTGAAGCACATGGCTGAGCTGCAGCAATCCGTTGTCACCGACCAGGATACGCGCCATCAAATACAAACACAAATCCTACAATGGGAAGAGAATTTGGAGCGTCTACATTGCGAACAGTTCCGCTTGCGTTGCTACATGGCGTCGCTGCAGAGTGGCGAATTGCCAAATCCAAAAGTAAGTACAAATACATACACATACTTTTTATAAGTTTATACAAGTGAACTCATAAAGTATACATGATAGTCCAAGTAACAAGCAGAAAGTGAAAGGAAGAGAAGGTAAAAAGCCGCGATAAGGACTTTATTATCATGGAAGTCCAATAAATATTTAACAGGGTACATAAGCTATCTGCCGGTTGAGCTACCGGCTTTTCCGAACTGGTTAGTTCGATGGAGAACGTTTTCATCGAGAAGCAATAAATAGCAGTTTGCCAAACACTTTTGGTTTACATTACTCGTGATTTTAATTTAAACTTACTTGAGTTCACTTAAACAGCCATTATTTTTTTTAAATGTATTGTTAAGTTTTTTTGAGTTTGCGGTATTCCTGCTTTCGTTATCTTCCCTCGGAATATACTTATTAATAACATTACATCCGAAAATATCCAGTGTTTCCTATTAATCACAAGGCTTTAGAATCATTTTTGTTTTGAATAAAATAAACACAAATTTTTGTCATCAAAAATGTGTTCATATATTAAATCAGTTCTACGAAGTCGGTTTTCAACTTTTATTCCCTTTCATATAAAAGCCAACCAAATAACAGGATCTATGCATGTCACATATAACTATCCGCGTTCTTTCTCTTTCAAATCCCTATTTCTTCAAACTTTTTGGAGTTTTTGCTTTATGTGTGGCGTTCGTCTTACTGCTCAACTACCTGAACTTGGAGGGCGTATTTCGTAGGACTTCGTTCGCATTATATTGTATTATATGTGTATATTATGCCCTCGTTCTTTGTTCGTTGAATACAGAGCTCGGCACCATTCTGGTTCATATATATAAGTGAGTGAGTTCTACTTGTATTGCACTTGATCTTTTGCATTACCAATTACCTTTGTTATTACCATTCTTAAAACTTCTTTAAGTTACGGTACCTATTTCTTGAGGTGTCTCGAACATTTCAAAGATCCACTACTAGAATCAGTTCATTATCCACATTTCTAATAAATCAATAAATTATTAAATTTTACTGATTTTAAGCTGCCATTAATCAAATTTAATTCCGCATCAGATTTTAGACCTGAGATCATTTTCAGACTTTGTGCTCATTTCTAAATAAATAAAAGTGCCAATAGCTTCGTTGCTATGAATGACATTATGTCACCTTGTTTCCATTCACCATCAATCCAAATTGTCTAGATTATTTACCCGATCTAGTAAAATAGTACCTTAGACGCTATGGTTGTTACCGTCAATTACACCGACATCTTCAATAAACACTAACAGTATCCTAAACTATTGTATCTGCATGGTGTAGTGCCTTTGATACACTCAGAGAGTGTCCCTGTCTGAAACCTTGTTAAGTTTAGTTTTAGTATGAGAAAAATTTTCAAATAAAATTCTCTAAATGAACCTATGTCTAGTTGGGGCATTTTAATAATTGTATGCATATATTAAAAGAAAGTTTCCATATTCCCCACAATTAATTTGGGTGCACAACTCGCTGGAGCAAATAAAAATTTCAAATTTCTATTTTCTTTGGAAACATCTAATTATAACCTGAAGAGCGTATACTAAGTTTGATATGCATTTTGTAATACTCAGAAGGAAACGTCGGAGACCCTTTAAGTATATAAATAAATAAACAGCGAGAGGAGTTGGCTCGATTTAGATATTTCCGTCTGTCTCTTGGTTTGCCTCTTGTTTAATATACGTTAACTAGTCCCTCAAGTTTTGAAATATGGATCTGAAAACTTGCATACATTTTTTTCTTCTTAAAGAGCTGCTCATTTATTGGAACCGCCGATATCGGACCAACATGGGATTAGCTGCCATTCAAACTGATCGTACACGAGAACGGTACAATCTCCAAATAAATAATTGTGATCGAACAACTATAGCATGTAGCTGTCTTTTAAAGTGACCGATCTAAATATAGTTTTTGTATAGAACACTTTGGCATTTGACAAAATATCTTCACAGAATTTGGCATGAATTATTGCCCAAGACAACTGTGTAGACCCCGAACAAATTGTTCAGTTCCAACCACTAAAGCAAGTAGCTGCCATACTAACTAACCGATCAAAAAACAGTTCTTGTAAGGAATCTTTGGTATTTGTTAAGGGTATTATATGTTCTATGCAACCACAGTTAACATGAAATTTGCAAGTATAAACGAATTACTCAATGAAATAAAAAAACTTCGCCTAAAGGTAGGCAATGCCTAACCATATACATCAAAATTTGAATGAGAAGATTTGCAAAAGGCCAGTTAATGATGTGCTCTCTCTTCCTTTCTGTCATATAATATAATGTATAGCAATATGGGCCATGTATTGTCGAAGGAATTTCAATGAAAGGGTAGGCCCCATCAATGTCGCACCTAAGAAGTAATATTTGAAGTTTGAAGCATAGTATGTGAAGCTCAAAAAAATTGAATTATTGTATTTTAGAGCTGAATATATCTTTAAAGCTGCTTTTTACTCACACGTACTTCTTGAAGCTATATTTTTTCACCTCGCTGCTGCAGGTGTTGGCTATTTTTTTAACAAATGTATGCAATATATGTGCCACGAAGACAACAATAAGTCTGGCTATTTGAATTGGCAGCAACACAATAGTAAGTTATGATTATCCATAATAATATGTCGAGAGTAAAATCGCTTGCGGGAAAAGCAAAAATTTATTTTATGAAAATCACGCCCCAGCAATGGCGAGAGGCAATAAAATATGCACACACGAACAACAACACGAGCACATAATCGGTTACATGGACTATAAGTATACCAAAATGTGTGTGTATGATCACCACTGAGACTTAGGTACACACCCGTAAAATATGTGCGAAAAGTATGCAAAAAAAAATTTTTTTTTGGCGGCAGCGATGTGGAGCTGTGATCTCAAGTAAAAATATGGCGGCAACGACTTACACAGAGCTTAGTAGCTGGTAATATATCAGCAAACATCAGCCGGCAGCTGCAATCTTTCATTCAAGCATTCAACCCGCCATTCAAGCCAACTAATGCAGCTGCCGTGACTTGTTGGCTTTGTTGTTGCTGTTGTGCTGCCATTGCTTCTGTTTTGAAAAAAACAAAAAAAAAAACAGAATATTTTCTCACATTCATAATGTGAGCGCGCAAAGTGGAGATGGGAGATGCTCGGGGGAGTGATGGGAAGTTGTGAAGTGCTGGGGACTAAAGTAAGACAGACAGATAAACAGTTAGTCAAGAGTCAGGAGTCTATGCGCTCAACTTTGCACTCAACTCTACTCAGCTATTCATAGGAAATGTAAAGGCATTTGTGGCTGGTGTGGCAACGATTGCCTTTTTAGATTGCACGCTCATCTCGCACACAAATACACACACACACACATACACAGGCGCACTTCGTAATTGTGTATGTGTACGTATGGGGATAACAAGCAGGATAAACGGCGCAATAATAAAACAACTAAGACACACACACATAGGTACACATACATATGTGGAGATGGCATTATAACAGCAACAATATGCAGCTAAATGACAGTCATGAAAGCGGCATGATTTATTATTAACAGTCAAACAAACAAACAGGCACCCACACATGCACCAACACATCGAAACAAACTCACACATCCATATACAGAGTTACGCCACGTTGCATACAATTAGGTGCACAGACAGACGACAGACAGCAGACAGCGCCACTACAGGCATGTGGAGTTGCGGGATGTCCTCGCATAAGCTGCGAGAAAGCCGCTTACTTCAGCTGCTGCTGCCTGTCACCCCCGCTGCTTGCTGTCGCTGCAGCTGTTGTGGCACGAAGTGCTTTTCCCGCAGGATATTTGCCTTACACTTCGTTTTTAAGTTGCCATGAAAGGGTGCACACACACATATGCTCACGAGTTATGAATTCATATTTAAATGCACACCTTTGTATCTGTGTATCTGTTTGCACTTATCTGCGTGTGTGCATATGTAAATAAGTCGCTGTCTGCAAAGCCGGCGACAGCTCACGAGTCGGTAAGCGCCGCTTGCAACGCTTGCTTTGTGCACTCTGCTGCATTCTTTGGTGTAAAGCATTAAACTCATATGTAGAAATGTACTTAATTTTTTTTTTAATTCGATTGTTATCATTCCGTCATCATTCTTCTGCTGTTATGTGCCAATAAATAATGTGTTAATAGGTTTACTTCAACTAAGCTGTGACGAGATTTGTTTGCTAATGTGAGAATTGGGTATTGAAGGATTTACCTCTGGCAATTTTTTGACCAGCACAACATTAACTGAAATGTAATAAATTAATTTAATTTAAATTTCGTAAATAACAAAAATGTTTCATATTTCAACAGGCTCTTGAAGGACATAGTTGCAAAATTCCCAACCTTCTGAAATTAAAAGAAACAAATTAGTGAAATTAAAAAAAAAAATTTTTTAATCTTTGCATACTTTGACAAATTTTACCTTAAAAAATAACATACTAAAATTTTAAATATTTATATTTCAAAAATTTAGTTACAGCCTGCTTTATTTCAATCCCCTCCATCGGCTTACCTTAAAACGCATTTTTCTCGAAACTACATACAAACGCTTCAATCACTATCAAATTTATGATCTGTTTATAGTTCTGCATACAATGACTTACCAGTTATTTAATCTGACCAAAAATCGAATTTTTTGTTTTTTTAATTTTACTGTAAATTTTTAGACTACTTAGAAATGTACCTCTAAAATTTTCGATTGATATAGTTGTTATTTTCAATCCGAAAATCGCCTCTTTGAAACTTTCACACTTTAATCCTTGGAAAGTTCTGACATAGTCGATTTTGTCAGTTCAGAACTTTTCATAAATCGCAAATATTTCAAAGCCGGAGATTTCTGAGAGGCTCCAATAAACGATTTATTACTTAGGTAGGTAGGGTGGTAGGAAGATAGAGTGATTTTCGGATGACGCACCTAGCTCTATAGAAAGCCAATTGTTATATATTATTTAACTTATTTTACTTTCTCCCGAATTATTTTAGCCAGAGCTTAGGAAATATTTTAATTACATATTTTTAAGGCAGGCTGTGCCAATGTCTCTTTGCAAGACTGTTCCATAAATAAAAATTTTAGTTTTTTATATAAATATTAATTTTTTATTTTAACGATATTCCTAGATATAAAGTGAAGTTAACATACGTTCGAAATATTCTGCGATTTTATATTCTGAACTTTTATATATTCCGAGTAGAAATTTTTCCGCAAAAGTCCCAAACTGAAGATAACCAAGCAATTTCTTACCTAATTCATCTAATTGCAACTCTCTAAAGGCTCTGTATATACACACTACTTTTGTAAGCACTAAACTATATGTACTCCTGAGCTCTTCGGATCTTCTGAAGAATTCGTATTTAGTTTTCGGTTGTGTGCCTTGCTGTGCTTGGAAACGAGTTAAGTTTACGATTTGACTTCTTGGTACACTCTTGCAGAAATGCTGAAATATCTTAGGATAATTTCTCTAGACATCGTCTCTAAAGTCTGCAAAGCCTTGACACAACACAAATTACCTTATTAAATAGAAAAGTAATATGCATATGTGTAGCAATATTAACCAGTTTCTCTATTTATTAATAATATTATCTTATACACATAATAGGGGTTTAAGGTTTTAAATATTTCCATGCTACTAAAAGAGTTCATTAGATCAGTATACGTAATAGAAAGAAATTCGTCAGAAGAGAATTCTTGTAAGAACAGATCCATGGTTGACTGAAAATTTTGTTGTACACTTCCTTTGAAGAAAATCTACTTGCACATATGTTCTTTTAGATAGATTTTGAGCTTGCAAGAATTAGTGGTGGCATCTGCCTAAATCTTTTTTTAAAACGATCTGTAATGGACGGCCAAACATGCCAAAATAAAAACTAATTAATTATTTTATACCCTCCTTCCTTGTAGTCTTATATTTTTAGTTTTTAATATTTATACCTCATTCCAACTAAAGTTCAATCATGTTGCTGTTATTGACCTCATTCTTCAAAGTCCCTCAACCTATCCATAACTTCAAATCTGAGTTCTCAACAGAATATCTTTAATCCTAAGCAAACATTTTTCGGTATATATGCTATGAGAAAATACTAAAATTTGAGCTTTCAATAGAAGATGTATGTGCTCTGATTCCAACTCTTGTGAGTATCTATCGAAATGACTAAACGAACGCAACTTTCAGCAAAAAAATCTAGAAACCCAAGCACGAAAATTCTAACACATGCTATCAAAATTATTATTCTAAGCAACTGTTAATATTAACGCAGTTTTATTGCTAACATTTTCATAACTTTTCTTGAGTTTCTGTATAGTAACTACGAAAATTAAAATTATCTACTTGCAGTCCTTGCTCACACACGTCTCACGGCCAACTAAGAACACTTTGAATAAATTGGGCGTCTTCACTGTATCCTCATTTCATGCATTCATATGTGCTCGTTCGCCATCTTTGCTGAATAATTTATTGGCCGGACGTGGTGCCACAAAACGTCGACCACCGATGCTCTCGCGCTCGAATAGCGGCTCCAGTCGGCGTTCAATGCAGGTAAGTGAAAGTGAATTTATTATAAATATAGTGTTGAATGATTGAATTAAGTAAGATCGTAATAATCAAAAGTCACTAAAATTATGATAATTTGTTCATAATATTAATAAATAAGGATTTTGGAACTATAGAAGCTTATATTGCTTTCTACGCTGTTCGCAACTCTTGGTAAGAATTACCATATTTTGTCAAAATATCTAATATTTATTGAGTGATGTTTTTCTGCTTTGATTTTCTGAAAGCCTCAAATCCTGCTGAAATGACACTCCCTAAGCGACGTAGACTGCAAGATTATTTTATAGATGTATAAATTAGTATTAGCAGAAGTGCATGTGGAAGATAGCTGACTTCCACACTTTCAAATAGCTCAGCTTGCTATTTCAAAAACTAAAGGAATAGTTCGCGTATATATATACAGACAAGCATGACTAAATCGACTCAGCTCGACACGCTAAACATTTATAAATAAATTTTATAGAGTCTCCGACTTTTTCTTTTGAGTGTTCGAAACATTGGGATAAACTCATATACCCTATTCAGGTTATAAAAAGCGATATGTATGGAATATAGAACTTAATTGTTTTTTCTTGATTTTAACACCTTTCTTCTTATGCTACTCTGCATTTTTTGGTATGTACTTTCCTTCCTTAATATTTTTATCTCTACTGTTTAGAATATAAAACGTGTTTAATTAAATTTAGTAAAAATGAATGACTGGAGACCTCACGTTTGCTATGCAAAAAAAAAAAAAAAAGGATTCTTCAATTGAATTCTTAATAAGCTTATTTAAATGTTGTGCAGTGTTTAGTATACTTACTTACCGCTTGTTAAAAGCTTAGTACACAGAAAAGATGCCAGCAATCCGCTTAGTTATTTTCTGCTTAACTTTTTGCTATTGAAATAAATGTATGTAATAAATGTATATATATATGCGCATATATAAATATGTCTTAATATAATTATTGCATTTATATATGCCAACTTTCTTTGAAAATTGCTCAGTTTAATCACGTGCTACTAAATGCTAAAATAGTTATCCTGCGCATACATAAAGTAGTAGTAGTAGTTCATATTGTGCGCCGGTGCGTATACGCAACCTCAGTTTGGATTTGATTATTGCACAGAAAACGTGTGTTTTGTGTTCAAATAAATGCTCATCACTATTCATGCAATATTTAGGCTTACGTTTTGGCATTTTTAATGCAAACTAAAATAAATAGATTTCTATAGCGCTCTTCATTGAATATTCGTTACCAAAACATAAGCTAACACGTACAAGTGTACAATCAGCCAAACGTTTGGGTTGAGTTGTGTGTGTATTAGTCTGCCATTTTGCCATTTTGGGTTAACAATATCGCGTTGCACGTACACAATTTGCATATTTCAGTTCATAAGTGTCACTCTTTATCTGTAGCAAGGCAATTTTATGCAACGCCAAATAAAACTAGCAGCTGTTTACTCATGTAAGCATGTATTATAATATACATATATATGTGTGTATGTGCTTGTAAACTAACACAATTTGGTATTTGTGCATTTGCTGGCGCTGCTTGTGTGTAGACTCGATTTAATTAGCGCAACACAAAATCATAAACTTTCTCACATCAGTGTTAACGGAATAAATTTCGGTGCACTGAAAATTTAATAAAATATTGAAATACATAGGCATGTAAATGTGTATGTATTAACTAACCGACATTAGCTACGTTCCTAATTAAGTTGTTGGGTTATTAGCTTTTATGGCGAGCTTGCTTTAGTATATGTTTGTATGTATAGAATTGTATATGTATGTATATGCACGTATATTAAGCTGTTATTTTATACTGAAATCAAATTTTGTATTTCATTGTATTTTAACAATGCTCCACTAGATTAAATTAATCGTTTCTGAATTTCTATTATAAATAAATAATGAGTAGTTATTATTAAGCTTTTTTTCAATTACAACAGAATCAAAAAATTAAATTAGATAAAGTAATTGCGCATAATAATATAATAGCATAAACGCATAATTAATTAAACTGCACCCAATTTAAAAACAAAAAAAAAAAATTGTTTGAAATACCCTCATCTGGAAATCGATGTTAAATATTTAATATTTTCTGAAAAATATTCAAACAGGTGGCAACATTTATTGTTAGTTTATTCCCAGAGATATATTGCTGAAATTGGACTTGTTTGTTTTCCATATTGTAATGTTGCATATATCACCTTTGTTGTTGTTGGCAACATTGCTACACAAGTTTTCGAATGTATGCTTCTTCCGCTCCAGTTAGATAGCTTTATTTGAAATCTTTAAGTTTTATATATTTTTTCCGACCAGATGGCAACTCTGGTTATAAATATCTCCAGCTAGAATATTATTGTATGCTGGTCAAGTTATAAAATGCGAATTGAATTATTTTCTTAAATTAAAAATAACAATATAAAGTTGGCAACCCTCTTCAGAAAAATAAAATAAAATTTAAATTTTTTGGAATTTTTTTACATGCCCATATTGTATTGCTGAGTCATTTTTTAACTGAACTTTACTTTCTAAACATCATAATACTATTTTTTGGAATTAAAAAAGGTAATATTTAATGTGTGGATTTAGTTATGCTAGTAATGGTGCTAACTGAACTGTGGCAAAACTGGTAAATATTTATATGTGCATTACAATTGTCTCAAATACATACATTTAACTTCATACCGCTGTTAAATTACCTCCATTCATATCAGTAATAAAATTTTCAAACAGGTGGCAGCCCTACTTACAAGTAAAAGCAGACAGTTATTGAGATGAAAATTTTTTGTTTAGTGCTCTGATTGTATTTTTCTAATTATTTGGTTGATGGAATTTTTTTTTAATTTTAAATATGTGGCAACTCCCATCACCAATATTTACGGTCATACTAAAAATATCTTCATGTGCATTAAAACTACCTCAAATGCCTTTTACTTTATACCGGTGTTAAATTTATGCCATCAATTTGTGTGAATTAAATTTTTCAAACTGGTGGCACCCCTAATTACAAATAAAACAATAGCAGATATCTAATTGAAATTTTTTTTGATGCTCCAATTAAAGTTTTTCATTTATTTGATTAATTTGGTTGAAGCAATTTTTGTTTTAATTTTATATAGGTGGCAACTATCAACAGCACTTTTTTTCGCTCATACTAAAAATATGCTAACTTGTCTTAACATTGCCTCAAATGCATTTAACTGCATACCAGTGTTAAATTTATACCAATAATTTGTTTGAACTCAAATTTTCAAATAGGTGGCACCACCACTCATAACTAAAACAGATAGATATCTAGTTAAAGCTTGTTTCTTTGATGACCCAATTGCATTTTTCCATTTGTTTGATTAATTTTGTTAAAGCAACTACATTTTTTTTTTTGTAAAATGTAATACGTGGCAACTCCCAGAGCATTTTCCAATGATGTTTTATTATGCCCCTTCAGTTGGATACGAACAGTGTTGTACTTATTAGCCTTTTCATTTGCTATAGTTAAACTTTTTAAACAGGTGGCAACCATTCTAAAATAATAATTTGAAATTTAAGCTTCTCTAAAATTCTTTCTACACCCATATTGAAGTGATTTTGTGGTATACCCAGATAAAATTAATGAGGTTTCTTTTTACCGCCTTGCTAGCATATGGTCCCCAAAAAGCTTGTTTTTAGCAACTTTCGGCTGCAATTAATGACAACTTCAGCACTCAAACGATTTTATGGCCCAATTTTGTTAGGTTAGAATTTGTTAGTTCTTATTAATTTAGTATGAGGAAATTTGTAAAGGCCTTGTGTGTCCAAATTCCACAGTATCTTTCAGACTTCCAACTGACTCACTCACCCTTAAGGAAATTATATTGACAAGCTCAACTCTGTAATACCCAGAATCGTTCAATAAATGTTTCTGAAATGTTAAAGATATATGTAGAAAGAGATAGTTTCAACAATGACCTTACTTTAAGTACAAGATTTCTGTTACTTGAAACACCAATCGTTAAAACATCGAAAAGCAAAAAGTTAATTATTTAAAATATATTTACAAGTTTCCAAAAAAATAGATTTTCTAAATTCTCTTAGAAATTTCACTCTCAACCACACTAACCGCTTTATAAAAAGTGTTTAGTTAACCCCCAACTCCGAGTATCCCTCTAACAAACTACTCGTAAAATCATGAATTAGCGCCGAGAAAAACAAAAAAAAAATATTTTAAAAAATCGAAAAGGTAAAAATTAAGTGCAAATCACCATGAAACACAATAAAAAAACTTTATCCACACATACTCAATCACACACACACATACACATACAATACATATGTGATGTAGCAAAAACATATGTCCAAACAATAAATGAAAATAAATATCATTTCAACACGACTTAATTGGAAAAGTTTTATTGTTTTAAAATATGATTATCCGTTTTAACGGCAAGCGGTGTATTATCAAACTGCACACTGCTACTACTACTACAACAACTACTAAATATATCAGTGTGTTAGATTTATGTAGTAGCTGCGATAGCATCGCGGTCACTTTCTAATAAAAGTAAACAAATAAATGCACGCGTGCGTGTGTGAGTATACATATGGGTGTGTGTTTTTGTGTATATGTGGTTATGTCATAGGTGCGTATGCATGTGTGTGTCATGTTATTATTTTTACACCGCTTGGCGCGCACTCATTTCGAAAAATGTCAGCTGAAAAAACAGCGTTGTCTATTTTACATAATTGTTGCGTATGTATGCATGTGTGGCTGTGTGTGGAAAATTCAGCTTTACTGCTATTATTCCAGGTCCTCTTTTAGTTTTTATTGTGTTCGATTTTTAATGAATTTCTAAATGAAATTCAGATTTTTGAAATTTCTATTCATATCTTGGTCGTAAAACATTTGATGTTGAAAATTCGTGTCATATCAGGAATTTTAAAAAAATTTTTGGTTAAAGTAAGCGAAAAACAGCGAAATTTTCGTATGTTTTTTTTGTTCACTCCATGTAAAAAATCT